TGTGTTAAATGTTTAGGTTGCTTTGTTCTTTGGAAATCAACACTGACTAGTTCAATATTCATAGAACAATTTAACGGTTGATTTAAGTAGCTGTAACAGGATGGACATGAATTTCATGTTTACTGATTGAATTTAGTTTGCAGAAAAAATGTTACATATAATAATAAAGAAGCTGCGATTTTTCGTTAGAGTTAATATGAGGCAGGCATTACCTGTGAAAGGGGACGAAGTCTATATAAATTATTTTTTTAATTCAAACATATTTTAAGTTCTAAATCTGTTAAAAAAGAAACGGAAAATAGCGTAACGTTTCCGATTTTGGTTCTGTTGTGTCTGTTGTTAGGGATTTTAGTTGTGACGTTATTTATGTTATGACGTCATATTCAATGTAAACAAAGAAACGCTATCATCAGGTAACGTTTTTTATATCAAAGAATAATTAGAAATGCAATTGTTATTGTGTTCCTTCCTATATTTTACTGGACTGATAAATATATATTTCACTCAAAGTCTCATGACAAACGAGACCGGAAGAAGGAAGTAGATTTCTGCGCAAATGCGGATATTAAAAAAAATTACAAAAAAAAGTTAACGATTTTGAGTTCATTAGTACAATGAAAATTTCGGGAAATTTTCCCGATTTTTTTTTTTTTTTTTTTTTTTTTTTTATTGATTTTTCTACTGAAGTCCCCTTATTATTAAAGTTCTCGAAAAGTCCCTTTTTCCGAATATCAAGGCAATCAGAAAATAGGAGAAGAAAACAGTTGAAATGTGTTACGCTGATCATCTACCCTGACACTGTACGCACAGAATTTCGAAAAAATCGGACTTAAATGTATTTTAATCTTATCAAAATAGATCTAAATCATGTTTACTATTAATGTTCTGACTCATAAAGTTTACAAACTTTCATTTAAAAACTTACAACTGCATTTTCCTTTAGAAATAAAAATTTTAGCATAGGTGTACTGAAAATTCGACATTTTTTTTTAAATGACCCATATATGAAAATGCTGTCCTTCGAATCTATTGTTCAAATTCAATAATAAGTATATTTTGCTTCCGTTTGTCGTAACTTGAATTTTAAAAAGCTGTAAATCTATCCCAGATCTATACACACAAAAAAACGAATGAGCTTTGTTAAACAGGTGTTCCATAGGTATTTAATCGTGATTACCGCCCTTTTATTTATTTACTTCCATTGCAAGTGAAAACGTTGAATCTATTTGCTTTTATCATATTTATTAACCAATACAAAGATATTTGGTAAGTAGACGACGATATTTTGTATTTTATAAATAAAAATTATGTCGATTTTACAAAATGAACCGCAAAAACAATAAACCTAAGCAATGAACATTCAATATTCGCATAAACAATGACAAAACAAAAATCCATTCACCCAATGACAGCAAACCGATATTTGCCGTCGATTCTAACATTTTGTTACGTCTTTTAAATTAAAGTATGTATCTTGACATTATGTTATGAATCCATACTTTACAAGTTTACAAAAATAATTGTGTATATGGAACGCCTAGTTAACATTTGAGCTGCGTCGGATAGAAAACGGGGTACCCTAGAAAACGACCTTACAAAATGTAAATGCAAGTCCACTTATACATGTACATGTATAAGACTTTGATTGAATGAGGAACTATCAATTACGAAAGAAAAGCATTCAATGAGTTTTGTTCAGTTTTGTATGGTTCTAATATTTACAATCCAATTCAATTTTTAAACAGTTTCATACTTTTCGGAGAGATTTTTTTCAACCAGAAATAGGTTACCAGATGATCATGTATTGGTATTAATTTGCATAAGGCCTAGGTCAATTTCTATTTGACGCAGCTCATTTGTAACTGATTTTTTCCCATAAAAACTAAAATAAAAATGTTCGTGCTTTGAGTTAAATTAAAAAAAATTAAGATAATTAATCATAATTATGTTGATAGTTATTAATTGTAAACATATTAATAATTTTGAATTAAATATATCAACAAAATTGTTATTTTAAAAGTGAATATCCATGTATTTGTAAACATATTAATCATTTTAAATTAAATATATTTCTTATTTTTTCAAATAAAAAAATAGATATTAAGTGATTATCCATGTATTTTTGTGTTTCGTAACATTATTTTAAAATTCAAAATCAATTGAAACATCAGCAGTTGTATGTATAGAAGTGAGACAGAAAAAAAAGTATTTGATAAAATAATTCCAATTTGCCAGAATAGACTCAGAGTAATTGAATGAAATTATTTTCTTAAACTAGTTAGTATGGGCAGGGAGCAATGATTTAACTTCAAAAAGGGAGGGGGGGGGGGGGGTGTTATGGTTTTTAGTCTTGAGTCGGAACTCTTTTTTGTGCAAAGCGCTATAACTATTTTTGGTTTTCCACGCTATCAATCAAGTTATTTTTTTTTCAAAATTGTAATATTTTAAGGTTTGGGGAAAATCTGGATTCAGGATACTTTTTTCTGTCATCTGATTGACCACAATATTTTTTACATTAAATTTTGGATCAGAATATTTTTTTTTGGACTAAATCAAAATGCCCCCCACCCCCTCCCCATCCCCCTTTCCCCCCTTGATATTAAAGGGTCATTCCCTTAGTTGACTTCAAATGTTCAGCATGCTCCTACAGGTACTTAATCAGTACTATTACTCCTCAGATTTTCTATATAAAAAAAGTAAAATAACAAAAATACAGAACTTTTCAAAAAGACGGTAAAGTGCAAACAATTTTATTTAGTTTTTCAACACTATCAATCAAATTATTTTGTTAAAAATTTAACACTATAAGGTATATTGGGAAAATCTGGATTCAGCATTTTTTATTTGTCTTCTGCTTGAACAGAATATTTTTTTTCATCAATTTGGGAATCAGAATATTTTTTTTAGGAAAAAACCATAAACCCCCTTGATGTTAAATGGTTGTTCCCTTTCATGATTAACATCATTCATGATAGAGCTTCTATTAAATTATTTTGTTGTTTCTTGGCTGCTCACAGTGTTTCCACAATATTAACGATGGAAAACTGCATATATTATGTATTTTATATTTGATATTATTATTGTTTATATATACATGTACTTAACTATAGAAAGATATAACAGTTCATAGTTTGCCAATCATGCATAGTACACCTATGTTATTGCAGAAAAAATATGCCTGTAATAACTAAAGGGTGTTATAACAGCTTATCTACATCACTTCAAAGCCTTTTCTCAGACATGCATCATGCTTAATCACAATGTATTTTAATTTATTGTAAGAAATAATGACAACAGCACGTAATGAGGTTCTGTGCAAGGTTCCCAGTAATTTCAAAGTGTCTCATACAATAAGTTTCCTATCGAAGGTCGTTGGTTTTTCTCTGGGCACTCCGGCTTTCTCCACCTATAAAAACTGACTGCAAAGAAATAGCCCAAATGGGTGCTTAAAAGTGGCGTTAAAACACCAACAATCAATCAATCGTATAATAAGTTACATACAAAAAAGAATATGTGGTATTAACAACTATAGTTCACCGTACCACCTTCAACAATGAGCAAAGCCCATACCGCATACTGCCATAGTCAGCTATAAAAGGTCCCGAAATGACAAATGTAAAAAAATCAAACGAGAAAACTAACGGCCTAACTAATGTACAAAAAAATGAATGAAAAACAAATATGTAACACAGCAACAAATGAGGGGGGGGGCAATAGGGGGTCCGTTAACATGTTAATGTTAACAACACCTCGATTTTGGCAAAAACAGTTAACAGCAAATGCAAAAATGCTGATAACAGTTAATAAAGTTGGTTGAAAAAAGATAACAGTTTAAATTTATCTCAGAAAACAGTTAACAACACCTTGAAAAGGGCCAAAATAGGTTAACATGAAAAGATATTTAAGATATTTTCTCTAATTACCCTACAGAGTTATATCCCTGACTGTATGAAGGTCATGAGGAGTGACATCTTGGACAAAGGTTAGCCATTAAGCATGTTAAGGAAACTATTGACAAATCATGCATGAAGTTTAACTTAAAAATAAACAGTTTAACATACATGGTGTTACTTTGGTGAATGTCGAGTAAATACAATTAGGCCATTATCAGACAAAGGCTGTGTAGAAGTATAAACATACCACACAATAAAGGAATCCTGATATTGACAACCACAGTCTAATACTATGAGTTTAGAAATGAAATAAGGAAAGCTATAAAGGACTTGAGCAACGCCTAGTAGACAAGATTAACATATCCAAAAAGTCGCAAGAAGTGTGGAACACCTATGAACAGATAACAGCAAAAAAAAGAGAGTAAAATTTCAACACGACCCAAGCCTTAACAGAAGAAGAAGAACCACTACAATTGTTAAATGGCCGACCATGGTTAACTATGCGTTTCCTGATGGTCAAACATGCTTCCTGTCATGGTCAGCCATGCTTTCCTACCATGGTCCACCATGCTTTCTCCTGCAAAGTTTGACCATGGTTTGACAAAAATGTTAAATATCGGACCATGGTTAAGCATGCTTTTTCCTCATTATCAACAACCATGGTCAACCATGCTTCCTACCATGTTCAGCCAAGTTTCCTACAATCTTCAACATGTTCATTTATCTTGAAACAGATCGTCTACTTGTATAACTTCTCTTCCTTTCTTTATGCTGAATTAAAGATTTGGATGAAACTCTGTAAAGCTATCCAGGCAGATTTGTTCATCCATAAAAGCAGTTTCCACCTGCATGAACATAGACTTTTCCATAAAGAATCAATAGCTCCTAATATTTTGTAAACATAAACAGATTTTACGGATCAATAAATTTTAATTTATTTGATCAATGTTGTTTTTATTTTATTTTGCAAATTTTCAATAAAACATTAATATCATCATAGACATATTTCTGACATCATGAACACATTTTATTTGTCAAATAATTGTAACCCTCCTTTTTTTCCTTTCAAACATCATTCACACTTTTCATCTTGTACAACTTTATCAGTTATAACTGGAATTTAAAACAACTCATTTATCAGTTTATAGTGATCTTTATGTATGGTAATCTCGAGATGCTGACAGATTTCATTAAAGACCATTTTCTGATGTGTTCAAATGAAAGCCATTTCAAATACCTTAATAAAATGATATGTTATAAAATAAAATCAGACATATTTCCTATATACTTATCTGATAACAAATCTGCTTTAAGTGACAATTGGATACATTATATCAAAATTTTTCTTTACTAGAATTTTTGAGCGCGAAATTACATTGGTTGACGTCACGTGACTTCCGTTCCCTTCAAACTTTTTTTGGTAGGGGTGAGCAGCTGAAACATCAAGTACCCCACCCTTTTCATATATTTTGCTTATCAAAAAATATACCTTTTCATATATTAATTAACAAAAAACAGACCTATAGATATATTTGGATATTTTTCATCTTCTGGTACATTAGTACTAGTATATAGAATGTGTTTGGGGTCCCGCTCATCATCACGTTCTTGTTTATTAGAAGCAACGGATTGGCATTAATCACATATTGCTTTTCCGATAAATTCGTCACATCTTAAACACTTTCCTCTATTTGCCCCTTTTATATATTTCATTATAAAGAAATTTCAATTCCAAAAGACAATAAAAAGATTTTAATTTGGTCAGATAAATGTAGTAACATCCCAGAGAGTGACACTTTCATTAATGAAAAACTGATAAATAAAAATTTAAAGGACGCTGACACTATGGAATTTCTTAAAATAATTGTTACCATGTTTCGTGTATACAAACCTTTGAATGTTAATTAGGTACAAATTTCAAAATGGTTGGTTTTATAGCATCTATAACTATAGCATCAGTGGAAATAACACATTGGAATAAATAGAGTTTAATTGGTTTGACAA